TCTCTCTCTCTCCTCTCTCAATCTCTCTAAAAAAAAAAAAAACAAAACAAAAAAAACCACTGATTCCTCTTTCTTCCTGACTCCAATGTCAGAGAAGACTGTATATTCCAAGGCTTCCTGTAAATTTTAAGAATGTGAATGAGAATAATATTTCTCTTGTTTTTTTTTGTTGTTGTTGTTTTGCTTTGTTTTTAGTACTGGGAATTAAACCCAGAGGCACTTTATCATTGAACTATACCCGCAACCCTTTTTATTTTTTATATTAAGACAGGGTCTTGCCTAGTTCTTGAGGCTGACGAACTTTTGATCCTTCTGTCTCAGCTCCAGAGTGTCTTGAGATTATAGGCATGCTCTACTGCACCTGGTTGAAAATAACTTTTTAAAGGGAGTTAACCACAAGTTGATTTTAATATAAGCCTCTTTTCTTGAATAGTAAGAACTGAAATCTTCCTGATAAGGTAGTCCTCATAGTGCAAACAGGGGTTTTTTTTGTTGTTGTTGTTTATGAGGAATGGGAACCCACGTCTGATATTATGTCCTCTAGCAAGTACTTTCTTCTGTGTTCCTCTCAAGAAGACTGACGGTCTGTTGAAGGAAATGTTTTCAAAATATACTTCTCAAGAGAATTCTTGCTGCTCAAATATGTATAGGAGTAGGTATCAGTAACTAGGGGCTATGCACCCTGGGTTGTGAATCTCTAAGCACCACTTGCCCTGGAGGCTAAATGATGGAAGAGATCTGATCTTGCATTGAGGTCTGCATTGGGGATTGGAACTATGGCAGATCACTGTTTACAGACCAGTGTTTCATTATTAACTGACTCTAGAGTGGTCCTTTTGGGTCTTCAATATTTTAGCCTTTTTAGTTTCTCTTTCATTCAGCTTGTGGTGGGTACTTCTCCAGGACTGTCCAAAGATGGGTAAAATATATTGCTCCAAACACTAAATATTCAGCATTATTTTCATGTATGAAATTGCCAGCTGCACTTAGTTTCTGCACTATTATGGTAGTACATTTTAACTTAAACTTTTCCAGCATCATTACTTATTTAAGGTATATTATTGATATTTTATTAGAATTAGTCTAATTTTCCTATGAAACAAGGTAAGTGTAAGGGGCTGGGAATGTAACTTAGAGATAGAGCATTTGCCTAGCACACATGAGGCCCTGGGTTCCATCCCCAGCACCACCAAAAAAAAAAAAAAAAAAAAATTGTGAAAAATGGTACATCTATGGCTGCTAATAAAATCATAGTATTTTATGTAGTTTCTCTGCAAAGACTGTGAAACCCCTCAACTTTAGTTTATAAGTCTGTCTGGCTTTATCAGTCCATCTGATCCAGATCAGTATTAGAAACTGTCTGCTTCCCCTGTGTCCTGGATCAACTCAGATTTGGTGACAGTAGTGTTTGGGGCGGGGAGGGGGGGCGACGAGGTGTTGTTGCCACCAGAATAAGTCCACTAAAAACTGCCCCAGACATTATCCCTCTTATGTAACCCTGTAATTCCATCCCCACAATAGATGTTACCACACATGATGCTTTTAAATTGGAACTTTTAAATCCTTTTGTCTCAAAGTCATTTAGGACAGGTTTATAACCCTAGTGTTGTCTTTTTCTGATTTTCACAAAAACTCAATTACACTAAGACTTTGTGATGACATGATGGGAAACATTTTTGTGTCATCCTAATTTAATACTTGCTTCTTAAAAGAAGGGGACAGTACTTTCTTCACTGTACAGCTAAAGACCCTGAATTGAAGAGAAATATTTTCTCAAGATTTACATGATGACGAAAGAGCTGGAATTTGAATTCATATTGCCTGAATGCAAAGCCTCTGGTCTTTTTCATGTTACTTCATTGTATCATGCAGTTTCTAGGTCTTTTGTTTTTTCTCTCTTGTCTACCCCTTTACTCTCACTTTGCAGAGGAAACAATATTTTCTGCATATTTGATAGCAATTTCAGCTGCCAAAGAATTATGCTAGCAGGCATTACTCTGCTAAGTCCTTCATGAAACCTAGAGGTGTTTAATAACAGGCAGTCCTACCAGCATTTCAACAGTCAGATGTCTGCTAGGTGCTTGGGGTGAGACAGGACAAGGGAAGGGGAAGGAAGGACAGTCAATGCAAGTATAAGGATATGAAGATTTGAGAAGAAAGAGATGAATTTGTATCCAGTAAAAGGGCTGGGCCTGCTGGGTGTGGTGGAGCACACTTGTAATCCCACCTATTCAGGAGGCTGAGATAGAAGAATCACAAATTCAAGGCCAGCCTAGGAAATTTAGTTCCTGTCTCAAAATAAGATCTGGGGCCAGGCACAGTGATGCACACGTGTAATTCTAGAAGCTTGGGTGTCTGCAGCAAGAGGATTGAGAGTTCCAAGCCAGCCTCAGCAAAAGCGAGGCACTAAGCAACTCAGTGAGACCCTGTCTCTAAATAAAATTAAAAAAAAGGGCTAGGAATGAAGTTCAGTGGTCAAGTGCCCCTGAGTTCAATCCGTGGTACAAAATAATAATCCTAAAAGGCTGGGTGTAGCTCAGTGATATAGTGCCCCTGAGTTCAAACCAAGTACTGCAAAGGAAAAAAATAAAAGATTACATACTATTTGCCCTTAGGAATAGTCTAGCAAAGGAGATACCAATGTGGAAATTGGGTGAGCTTATTAAAAATAGAGATAATTGGGTCCCACCCCTAGAGTTTTTTATTCGGTAGTTCTGAGGTGGGGCCTGAGAAGTTTCATTTCTAACAGCTTCCTGAGTTATGCTGATGCTGGTGAGGGGGCTGTACTTTGAGAACCACTGATCCAAACTAAGATGTGTTGGGTTCTAGAATAAAGGTAAGTATGCATTGGGTTCCTGAGGGATCACAAAGAAAAGAGATTAATTTTGCCAGGTAGAATTCTGAAATGGCCTTGAAGAATGGATAGGATTTGAACAAAAGTCCTGGAGAGAGGCCTGGGAATGTAGTTTAGTTGGTAGAGTGCCTCACCTGTACAAGGCGCTGGGTTCAATCCCCAGAACTGCCAAAAAAAAAAAAAAAAAGTCTTGGAGAGGAAGAATAGACTCCAGGACTTAGAGATTGATACTTTGAGTAATTTGAGAGGGTATGTGAAGAGCAGGGAAGAGTTCTTCCTGCAGTAAAAATAGGAAAGAAGTGAGAATTCGAACTTTGGAATAGAGAACCAACAAGGGACTTTTGTTTTTCTTTTTTTGGAGGTACTGGGGATTGAACTCAATGGCATTCTGCCAGTGAGCTACTGATGATTTTAATTAGATACAAAGATATAAGTACACAATTAGGGTAATAAACCATAGGAATAGGATTCTGAGGGCTTCAAGGAAAATTGTATTTTGGGGGGAATCTCAAGTAGGGAATTGATAGCATGGTGTGGTGGTGCACTACTATAAACCCAGGGATTTAGGAAGCTGAAGCAGAAGGATCAAAAGTTCGTTGCCAGTCTCAGTAATTTAGCAAGATCTGTCTCAAAAAGGAATGGGGATGTAGCTCAGTAGTAAAGCACTACTGTGCTCAAAATCTCCCCAGTACAAACAAAAAAGTGGGACCTGGAATAGGTCCACATGTGCTCAAGAAGAGTCATAGGTTCTTCAGTTGTTTGTTTGTTTGTTTGTTTTTTGGGGGATGGGGTATCGAACGCAGGGTCTTCTGCTTGCAAGCCAGCACTCTACCAACTGAGCTATATCCCTAGCCCAGTTCTTCAGTGTTCTGATAACTAAAACCTAAAGTTTCTCTAATTTGGAGACCACCTGAAATACCATCTGAAAACACTTCTTCAGTGAGTGATGGCAGATAGTAATCAGAAATAATTAAGTGTGAGAGCTAGCTAGACTTTGACTCAGCTACATTTGAATCCCATCTGTGCCAGATTAAGGATCAACCTCAAGTAGGTAACTTGATCCTCTCTGGATCATAATTTCATAGTGTCTGGGAAGAAAATACCCAAGATGCAGAGTTGTATTAAGAAGGCTGTCAAACTTATATAAAGTGCCAAGCATCTTGCATGGCACAGAGCAAGTGCTCAGTATGTTGACAGTATGGATTTAGGAATCAGATTGTGAGTCCAAGACCCAGCTCTACCACTTACTTGTCGAGGATGTGGGCTTTGGGCAAATTTTTTATTTTTTGTAAGGGGTACTGGGGATTTTACCCAGGGACAACTTATTACTTATTTACATGGTCAGCCCTTTTTATTATTTTTATTTTGGTACTAGCGATTAAACCCAGGGACGCTCAACCACTGAGCCACATCCCCAGCCCATTTTTGTTTTATTTGGAGACAGGGCCTCCCTTAGTTGCTTAGGCCTCGGTAGATTGCTGAGTCTGGCTTTGAACTCAAGATCCTCCTGTCTCAGCCTTCTAGCTGCTTGGATTACAGGCGTGGGCCACCCCATCTACAACTAAAAAACTATATAAATATTTTAATCAGTTTCTTCAATTGCTGAACGGAAAGATAATAGTATTTATTACCTAATGTTGTTCTGAGGACCAAATCACACAATGTATGAAAATAGATTAACCTGGCCTGGCACAAGGTATTACCCTCCTCTACCTCCCTCATACTTATTCTAGTCAGCAATGGATTTGACATCATTAGACTCTAAATCTTGCAGTCAAGTGCTCTTATTTAAATCTTGTCTCTCCCTCCTGTCTCCTGATAGTGCACACAGTGGGCACTAATAAATGTCCCATTGTGTTCCCTTGGGGGGGGGTGGTCGGGAGAGGAAAATT